CTCTGTCCCCATCCCGTGCAGGGGAAGGCAGTGCAGCCCCTGTCGGCTGTTTTGGTCCTGGTGTCCCAGAAGCCCTGGCAGAGGTTCTGCTGCCCTCCCTGTGCCCCCTCTGCTGGGATTTTGTCTCCTCCAGTGGGAAAAGCCAGGGCCATCCCAGGGCTCTGTCTGGCCTCAGGGATGCAGGATTCTCCACAGCAGTGAGGTACAAGTGAGGTCCCTTCCCACCCAAACCATTTTCTGTTTCTGTCTCAGCACAGAAGTCCTTTACCACAGGTGGTGGAGCTTCATGGCCATGTCGCCTCTCCCTGCAGCCCCACTTCCCTCTCCCTTTGCTCCTCTCTCCTCTGCTTCTTTCCCTCCTGCTCCTCTCCCTCCATTACTTCTCCCATCCCTTTTCCATCCCTTTTCCATCCCTTTCCCATCCCTTTTCCATCCTTTTCCCATCCCTTTTCCCATCCCTTTCCCATCCCTTTTCCCATCCCTTTTCCCATCCCTTTTCCCATCCCTTTCCCATCCCTTTTCCCATCCCTTTTCCCATCCCTTTTCCATCCCTTTTCCCATCCCTTTTCCCATCCCTTTCCCATCCCTTTTCCCATCCCTTTCCCATCCCTTTTCCCATCCCTTTCCCATCCCTTTTCCCATCCCTTTTCCCATCCCTTTTCCCATCCCTTTCCCATCCCTTTCCCATCCCTTTTCCATCCCTTTTCCCATCCCTTTCCCATCCCTTTTCCATCCCTTTTCCCATCCCTTTTCCCATCCCTTTTCCCATCCCTTTCCCATCCCTTTCCCATCCCTTTTCCCATCCCACTCCGCCTCCCGCCGGGACCGCACAGCGCTCGCTACAACGTCGCCACCTGGCGGCCACCGCGGGAGCTGCAGCGCGTCCCCGGGGGACATTGGGGGACACTGGGGGACACTGGGGGACACTGGGGGACACTGGGGAACACTGGGGGACACTGGGGGGACACGGGAGAGCACCACCGGTCACGGTGGGGGGACGCAAAGGGACAAGGGGGGCACAGGAGTGCAGGTTGAGGCAGCTCGGGGCGGTGACAGCCCCCCTTGGCTGAGCCCCAGGATGTGCGGGGAGGGTGCCCGGGCCGCTTTCTGCCTCGGCTACTTATTGCACGCGCATTTCCCCTGCAATTAGCACATGCTCTTTAATTAATTTTCCTCCTTTATTGCTTCGCCCAAATTATCTCAGCCCCGGCTGAGCCGCTGGAGTGCTCACGGCGGATAACGCTGCTATTTATGGCTTTCCCTGTCCATGCTGAGGCTCGGGAGGCCGGGACAGCCGCTCCTCCCGGGGCCGCATCCTGCTCTCGGTGCAGGGCACAGCCTCGGGACGGGCCGGAGCTCAGGAATTGTCTGTTCCTCATCCCCATCCTCGGGCCAGCCACTCCCCGGCTCTGTTTGGCGGCTGGAAGCTCTTCCCCAAATTCCTGAGCTGGGCAAATCCTCCCGGCCATAACCACGGTGCTAGAACTTTCCAAGGGAAAACGGAGCCGAATCGGGCAAAGCTGCGGCATCAAATCTGTCCAGAATAAGCTGTTACACGTGGAAACCTTCTGAACACCAAGGGGAGGGGGGTAAAACCCTCAGAAAGCTCTTGAGGATGCTGCCAGCAGAAAGGAGCTGAGGGGGAGCGTGGTGGGCAAGGGAAGGATGTCCCCAAAACCTCACACAATGGGAACCGAGGCGCAGGGATGTGACAGAAACCATCTGTGGCAGAGGAGATGAATTTCAGCCACCAGCCAGCACCAGGGCACGTGGGTCACCCCCACAAATCCCCAGTTCGAGCATCAGGGATGGGGTGGTCACCTCTGGCAGCTCCCAACTGCAGCTGCCAGCAGCACAGGAATCTGTATTTCTAACTTTAATATGCTTTCCCCTTTTAAAATAATCATTACCAATAAACAAATACAGTAGCCAGTGTATATAAGCATCAAATTAAGTAGCTACATGCATTTGTTATATTTGATATAGCCTTGTTAACTGGAAATTCCCAGGTTTGGAATATGTATTGATTTCAGTAAACATATATTACTTTACTGTAAGTACCCACAGCCATTGTAGTTAATATACAACAGTTTAATTTAAAATGCATTAGTTTAATAAAAATGCATAAAACAGAAGGGAATTGCATTAGCTTCAATAAAAAAAAAAATTCAATTTCATAAATATTATCCAGTGTTAAAATGCATTGATTTCCTGGGAAAATGTATTGGTCAGAGGTAATTTACATTGGTTTGGATGGGAACGTCCCGGAGTGTATACATATGTATTAGTTTAGTCAAATGTGTCTGATCACAGAAAAAAATACTGGCGGGAGCAAAGGATATTCATAAGGAACGGGCACGGGGCGGGCTCTGGAGCATCCTGACCCTCTGATGTGGCTATGCCTGGGGCTGGACACTCCCAGATGAGCTCCGTGGATGCTCGGGCTCGGGGTTTCGGGGATGCTGCCGGGATCCCCGGGACACAGAGCCTTTATCGGCCCCGGGCAGGGCTGGGCTGGGGCCGAGCCTCAGGCAGAGCAGGCTCCCGGCACAGAGCAGGGGTTAATCAAATCCTTTTGACTCCATTTTTTATCGAGCTCATGAGGGGCTGGCCTATTAATTAGAAAGGCTTTTTTCATGTAAAACACAGGCTCTTTCGCAGATAAGAAGGGACGATGCTTGATTTTGCCGTGGCGCAGATCCGTGTGTTATTCCTTGACATCCATTCACAGGCTGCAGCCACTTCCCACAGCTCTTTTGTTCGCTTCAGGGCTCCAGAGGCAGGTCTGTGCATACAGACGTATTTAAAGCACTCGGGTTTTCCCGGGGGCCGACAAGCCCCCCAATATCCACAGGAGGAGAAGGATGTGATGTGCCTGGAGGCGCTTCCATCTGCAGGCTGGAGCGGGGTCCTCAGGGGAGAGCAGGATCTGGCCCCTGCAGCACAGAGGATTTCGGCTGATAGCAAGGAGTGAGCAGTGGAGCAGATGCGACGTCCTACAAATCACAAGAGAAGCCCTGGCAGCCATCTGCACCCCATTCCCATCCCGGATTTCTGTTCCACATCTGCACCCCATTCCCATCCCGGATTTCTGTTCCACATCTGCACCCCATTCCCATCCCGGATTTCTTTTCCACATCTGCACCCCATTCTCATCCCGGATTTCTGTTCCACATCTGCACCCCATTCCCATCCCGGATTTCTGTTCCACATCTGCACCCCATTCCCATCCCGGATTTCTGTTCCACATCTGCACCCCATTCCCATCCCGGATTTCTGTGCCACCCTCGGCACCGCAGACCCTTCAAAGCCCGCAGCCACTGCCTCATCACAACACCGGGGAGAGACCCTGGTTTCTTCCAGGCTGGGCAGGCAAAGAAGGGTTGTTCCTGAAAAAATGACATTGTGGGAGATCTGCAGAGCTCCAGGGTTTCCTTCTGAGCGTCCAGCCGTGCCCCAGCACGGACAGGGAGCCGGGGACAGGGACAGGCGGAGCCCGGGTGGCGCCGGTGGCTCCACGGCCGCCCAGTCCTGTGAAACCACCACACATCACTTCCCTGATGCTTATGGATTTTTCTTTAATGCCACAAATTAAGGTAATTGGGCTCGGCTGGCCGATGAATCCGGCTGAACTTGGCAGGACGAGGGACAGTCCGTGCCGAGATTGATCCCCCTCATCCCCGGCTGTGCCCGGGGCTGGTCCTGGCCCCATTTCTGCCCCCGCGGCTCTTTCTCCTTCCCTTTTGCTCACACAGACCCCAAAACACATCCTGAAGTCCCTTCCCTGAGCTGCAGCTCCATCCAGACGGGATGGTCATTCCCGGATCAGGAGTTTTTCTCCTCCACAAGCACTTTTCCCTTCACACTTCCCTGCTGCCCACCGAAACCCTCCCAGTAATGCCATCCTCGCCGGCGGCCAGTGCCAGGGATTAAACACGATATTTGTGACCTCCGGGAGAACAAGGGCAGCGTCTGGGCAGAGCCCGCAGTTCCAGGGGTCTGGTTTCACAATTCCTTTTGTTCCCAGCCCTGTCCCAGACCTCCCCGCTCGCCCACCACCCTTCTCGGCATGCGGAGGGGACAATGCCGGGCAGCGAGGCCACCGGCTCATGGCCATGCCAGGCACCGCAGAGCTCGGGGGGCTGATGGACATCCTTGGGCTGGCAGCAAGCCCGTGAATCCCCCTCCAGTCTCATCCCGGCAAGGCGAGAGGGAGATAAAACGAACAGGCTGAAGACCAAAGGGAACCACCCAAGAGCAGCCACAAGCCCTGCTCCACAAGGGCAGCGGACATGGAACAGGTTTTGTGGGATTGCTGCCCGCCTGCCCGTGGGTTCCTTGGCTCTTGCTGCAGGAATGCCGAGCCAGAGAGTCCGGGCACCATCACTGCAGGATGTGTCCCGGGTACAGAGTCTGGAATGGGGAGAGTTAAATGTGTGTGTCCCACCGGGAGCAAATGTTTGGCTTAACTGGGTGACAGGTGCTTCAGTGGGGGTGACACATGAGAGAGGAGCTCTTCGTGCTTGCCCGGGTCTGTGGGAGCTCTGTGGGAGCTCCGGCCCCGGCAGCCTCGGGGATGGATGTTCTGCTCTCGGCTCAGGCCGGGTCACCAGGCAGCTGCTCCTGCTCCTGGAGCATCCCAAGGGAAGCGACCCACGGGCAGGGAGGCTCCTCTGCCTCCCGCAGCCGAGCGGCTCCCGGCTTTGCCTTGCCAGCTCTGCGATGGGGCACCAAGGCTCGCAAAGACGCCTGGAAACACCGAGAAAAAACATCCCTGTCCCAAAGCTTGGGGGATTCCAGCCGCGGGGGGGGGTGCCCTGGGGCCAACCCCTCCCTGCCTGTGCCAGCGGAGGGGACAAGCCCGGCGCCAGCCCGAGTGACAAAGGCAGGTGGGATTGTTCCTGTGCAGTCCCGGGACAGCATCCCCGGGGTGGGAGCCGGGGGCCGCCCGGTTTCGTTAACCTTGAAACCCTGCCGGGCTCACATGTCACGTCAGCCGCTGACAACAACAAGCTGCTATTCCAGATTAGAGAGAGAGGGACAGAGAAAGGCACAGACAACAGGGTTGGGAGAGGCCAAATTACCTATTACAGCCAAAAGTGGGCATGGGGCTATTTTTAACGCCCAGGGGGGTGTATTTATTGTTCCAGCCAGGGGGAGTGAGGGAGTGCCTCTGGGACACCCCTCGCAGTGACATCGGCGGCTGAGCGAAGCCATGGTGAGTACTGAGAGCCCAAAGAGACAAAATCCATTCAATTTTTTTACCAGAATCTCTTAAGGGAGCAAAGGAGCTAAGAGAGAGTTGAGGGCCAAGGGTCTTGTCTGCCTTGGAGAGGGGGTGAGAAAATTGGGGAGCATCTGGCTGGATCAGCAGCATCTCACAGGGAACAGAGAGGTGTCTCCCATGCCAGCAGAGCTTTCAAATGAGGACAGATGGTTTTACGGTCCAAATGCCATTTTTCTCTTTTCTCTTCCTTCATGCAGTGAGAGGAAGGGCCGTTTTGTGCCCCCCAAAATTTTCCTCCTGACAGACCCCCGTGAGAGGAAAAGGCTGCAGGAGCAGGCACTGGAATGGGGGATAATGGGCTGGGTGGGACAGTGAGGGGCTCTTCAGTCCTCTTCAAAACACACATTGACCCATTTCTGGTTCATGCCTCGGTGCAGGAGGAGGCAGATTTTTAATTAAGCCTCATTTTAATGTCTGCACAGCAGGGTAAAGAAGCACCGACCGACCACAACCCTCGTGTGCAACCTCAGCACTGCTCCCAAAGCCAGGAGGGCTCCAATGGGAATATCTCACCCCACTGCTGACCCTTTTACCTGCCAGTGGGAGAAGTGATTTCACTTCTCATCTTTCCTTGGAGCTCTTTGGCTAAATTCACCAGGAGCTGAGATTTAAGCAGGAATCTTAGAGCCCCTCAGTATCCCAGAGCTGCAGGGAGAAACTACCAAGCCCCCAGGGAAGAGAGCACCAGCCCAGAGCTTCCACAAAGGAGTCACAACCAGGAATAGGGCACTTCCATGCTTTTATTTCACCCCATAAAAAGCCAGCAAGCTAATGGTGCATACTTGGACTCCTGCAGGCACCCAAGAAAGCCAAGAAGAGGGTTGAAGGTGCTAATTCCAATGTCTTCTCCATGTTTGAGCAGGCCCAGATCCAGGAATTCAAAGAGGTAGGTGGGTTTGGTGGGAAGGACCGAGGGTCCTTGATGCGATGTGACCTTCATCTCTTTCCTTGGTGCTCTCAAGTGACAGCTGGCTCACACCAGGAGGCAGCAGGCTCGGTTTTGGGTAGTTTTATTTTAAAAGTGAGAATAACTCAGTGACACCGTTAAATCCGACATCGCCCCCAAGCTCCCGAGGAGCCTGCATCCCGCAGAGGATCTGGCAGCATCCAAGGGAGCTGGAGCACATCTCCCAGCTCACTCCCATCTGCCTTGCCAGGAGCTCTGACCCCCTGCACGGCAGGCACAAGTCCTGTGCAGACCCCAGTGCCAGGGATAACTGGAGGAGCTGATGGCTCAGGCTGGCCTCTCTCCTGAGAGGGCTTTGGCCAAGGAAAGGGTTTGTACAGCACTGGGGTTTGAGTTGCCCCAGGGTGCAGGACTGTGCGGGGTTAGGGTGAGTGAGGCGCACAGAGCCCATCCTGGGAGGGTTCAAAATGCCCTTATCCCATCCAAGCTGAAGGGAGAAGGAGGAAGGTACTAAAGCCTTTGCAAAGGGTGACAATTCTCCTTTTCTCTGTGCTCCCTGCCCTGCTCCTGCGCTTCCAGGCATTCACCATCATGGATCAGAACCGGGACGGCTTCATCGACAAGGCGGATCTGAGAGACACCTTTGCTGCCCTCGGTGAGCCCAGCTCCAGCGGCCTCCCCTCCCCAACGGCTCTGCCAACATTAGACCTGTTAACTGGGAGACAAGGGCGGGTGGGGCATTTCACCAAGCCCTTGTCATCCACCAGATCTCCCATTTTGCCAAAAACCTCCTGATCCAAACCCAAGCCCGTCAGCCTGGGAGTTCCCTCAGGGGTGACCCAGAGCAGCTCCCACAGCAGCGCTGGTTTATCCCGCTGCCACTGGAGCCAGCTCCTGGATTACACAGCCAAACACTCCCTGTCTTCTCCGACAGGGAGAAGCACCTGGCTGTGCCCATCCCATGGCATCCCAGGGCCTGTGGGCTTTAGGGGGATTTAGGGGATTTGTGGGAGGCTGTGACAATGCAAGCTTTGCTCTGCCATCAGAGGTCAGCGTGAATCAGCAATGGAGTTCCAAGGACAACCCAGCCTGGGGAAAAAGGATGTGAGCGATCAATCCCATTTGTTTTGGGTGCTGGGGGACAGGGAGAACTCCAGTGCTGCCAGTCTTGACCCAAAACACCTTCCAAGGAGGGCTAAAAGAGGCTGATCCGTGGGGCAGTGAGGGAAGGAAGCAGCACAGCTCAGTCCTTTGCATCTTTCTTTTCTGTGATCCTGGAGCCTGAGAAGCCAGAGCTGGAGATGATTCTCTCAGCCCACTCCTGCTGCCTCCATTCCATGTCAGAGGTGGCTCCCCAGGGATGAGCTATTTGCTTCCACTGGGGGAAAATCCCCCAGGGAAGGGTTCTGTGGCATGTATTTTTAGCCCCCAACACTCAGAGCAGGACACGGATCCATGACTGACCCACAGCTGCTCTCCCCAGGGCGCCTGAATGTGAAGAACGAGGAGATCGATGAGATGATAAAGGAGGCACCCGGCCCCATCAACTTCACCGTGTTCCTCACCATGTTTGGGGAGAAGCTCAAGGGTGAGAGGGCACCTGGGGAGCTGGGAGCGGTCAGAGTTGGTCAGTGGCATTGCCCCAAAACTCCTGCTGATTTGCAGTACCAACCATCCCTAGGTCCAGAGATGCAGATCTTATCCCACATCCCCCCAAACTGTTGGGGGGTGTGAGATGGTCTCCGTGCCTCAGTTTCCCCAGCCATTTACAAAACCCAAATGGCTGTGCTGCTGCTGCTGCTGGCCCATAGGAGGAGGGGACAGTTCTTGCAGCACCTCTGAGCCCGCTGACACCAGCGGTGCCAACAGTGCCCCACCCCCAGCTACAGCCAGACTTTGACCCCCCAGCCCATCTGGCTGCACCCTGAATCATGCACTTAACCCAAGGAATGCAGCCTCCTGCAGATCCCCAAGAGGCTGCAGGGCCCCAAGGGCTGTGCCTGGAGCTCTATAAATACGCTCCAAAGATTAGATAAATGCCGGATGCCGGAGCGGTGGCGACACCGCCTCCTCTGTGCTCACACCACGACCCCACGGCTGCTCCTCTACGTGCCACCAACTTCAAGTCTCCAGCTGCAGGGTCAGCATTCCTGCAGGGACCCCCCACTTTCCAGTCTGCCCCCCGTTTTGCCCCCAAGGCTGGGAGAAGCAGGAGGCTGCAGTTGGCTTCCTACTTCACCATCCCCAACCACCACGGCTTTGTCACCCACAGGTGCCGACCCAGAGGAGACAATCCTGAATGCATTCAAGGTGTTTGATCCAGAGGGGAAAGGCCTGAAATCTGCCTAGTGAGTGCAGGGGTACCTGGGGCAGGGAGTGATGAGGGTGCCCCCATCAGGACCTTCCCAGTGCTCACTGTGCTTCTCTCGTTTGCAGCATCAAAGAAATGCTGATGACGCAGGGGGAGAGGTTTTCCCAGGAAGAGGTATGATCTCCTTCCCACCCTCCGCCAGCCTCCCTCCATCCCAACAGACCCCATCCCTCCTCCCAGCCATGGTCCCAAGCCCCTCCCGTGCCACCTTTTCTCCCTGGCTGTTCCCTGGCAGATCGATCAGATGTTCGCTGCCTTCCCTCCGGACGTGTCTGGCAACCTGGATTACAAGAACCTGGTCCATGTCATTACTCACGGTGAAGAGAAGGACTAGCCCAGGCTCAGGGCTGGGGCTGGCACTGCAAGATCACCTCTCCCTAGGTCACACGGGGGTTCCCTTTCCTCTTCCCCTGGAGAGGCACTTGCCTGGGAATTTGGCACGGGAATGGCATTCACATTAAATGGCCTTTTGGCAAGAGGAAATCCAGCTGCTTGTGTGAGCAGTGCTTGGGCTTGTGTGGCATGCCTCTGCCCCGTGGGAGCCCCCAGATCCTTCCAGATCCCGCTGGCCCCAGCACCCCAGACCTACTGCACGTCACCCTCACTTGTCCTCCAGTCCCTCTCCCTCTGCCTCCCACTCCCAGCCCCAAACCAGCCTGTTCCACACTGGGCTGTGCCCATCCCGCCTGGTCCCACAGCCCAGCACTGAGCTCGGATTTACTTCAGGCAGCAGAGAGTTGTGAGCTTCTGCCAGCTTGGCAGGGAACACCCCGTGAGCTCATTGCCTGCATCCCACGAGCCAGGCACGGTGCAGGGTAGGGACCGTGGTCCCCATCTCCGGCCTTGGGGACAGGGATGTCACCCCATGGTAGAGCTGCTGATCCCACCCTGGCTGCGGGTGCTTTGTCAGCAGTGGGTGGAGCCATGCCAAAATATCACCTGGCGAGGTTCTGAAGCCTGTGAAAGGTGTTGGGCTCCTTCCAGAGAAGGAAGATGGAATGATGCCCGGGATGCAGAAGCTCAAGAATGAAACTGCTTCTTTAATTCGTCCCTGTCCCTGGTGGGCTCTTTGAAGGTGATGTGAGTCTCCTCCTCCTCTTGCCCGGGCTGGGCGGCCTGGCCAGCTCCTCCTCCTTCTTCTGGATAGCGAGCTGACGCAGCTGATCCCAGCTCAGCGGCTCTTCCTCTGCCCAAGAGAATGGCCACCCCATAATACAGTTTTACAGGTCTCACAGCCCCGCTGGGGCAGGGCAGGCTGGAGGGGATGGACTGGGAAGGACATGTGGCAGCATGGCCAGGCAGCCACGGGGGATTGGGGAGCAATCCCAGCCCCCCACTCCCTGCTCACCGGTTTTGGGGTCACTGGTCTCCAGGTCTGGGGGGGGCGGGCAGAGCTTGGCCCGGTCCATGACCCAGAGGAGGCTGGAGGCTCCCTGGAGGGGGCTGATGAAGGACTGGGAGCGCTGGGCGCGATCGATGGACGTGTAGCGTAGCAGGGACTCCCTCATCAGGAACTCCTTGACCTTGTCCTCCACAGGACCTGGGTGGGAAGGAGCAGAGTCCTGCAGTGTCCCGGCACCAGGACCCTGCCCAAACCCACCCCTGGCTGCCTGCAGAGCAGGGGATCCACTGCTTTCCATCCTTTGGGTCAGGGGGCCAAGGCTGGGTTGTGGAATCACAGAATCACAGGGTCACTAATGTTGGGAAAGACCTCAAAAATCACCAAGTCCAGCCTCATACTGAATATCCCCTGCCTCTTAAAGCATACCACAAAGTGCCACATCCGCTTTATTTTTTGAACACTTCAAGGGTGGTGACTCTACAGCTTCCCTGGCGAGCCTGTTCCGATTCTTGACCACTATATCAGTGAAGAAATTTTTCCTGATATCCAACCCAAACCTCCCCTAGTGCAATCCCCCTTGTCCTCTCACTGACTGCCTGGGAGAAGAGGTTGACCCCCACCTCACTTCAACACCCAGAGCCACGATGAGGGTTTGGGGAACCACTGGGATGTTTATACATCCAAATCAGCTCCCAGATTTGCTGGGAATTTGGTGCTGCAAATTCACTTTAGGGCACACATGGCTGATGGGACAGGGGACAACAAAAGCTCAATTAAAACACAGCGTGAGTGGGTGGTGGACAGGACTTCCCAAGGCACGTGGCACGGGAAGATGGGCAGCCCTGACCTACCAAAAATTGGCACCAAGCTCTCCCCAAGAGGCTTCAGTATCTTTGTAGTGTCGCAGTCCATGTCTTTCAAGAGGGTCTCCATACGAGACTGGATGTGTGCCAGGAGTTTGCTGGTCTCCTTGCACTTGTTCTCATACTTGTTGGCTTCCTCGGTGGTCTCTGTTATTTTTGCCTGTCAGCAAAGGTTTTGCCAGGTGTCACACCAGCCCCTCGCTGGCCCCGCCACCCCAGTGCTGCCCGGTTTCCATCTGGAGACAGAATCACAGGATCCCAGGATGGGTCGGGTTGGAAGCGACCACAGTGGGTGGTCTGGTCCAACTTCTGCTCAAGCAGGGTCATCTCAGAGCACAGGACACAGGATTGTGTCCAGACAGTTCTTGAATATCTTGAATATCTCCAGCTGCCCATGCTGGACCAGGGCTCACAGTCACCCCCTTACCATGCACTGGGAGCTGCCAAAACCTTTGCAGGGCCCTTTTCTGCCCACACCTCTCCAGCCACCGTCCAGAGCAGGACCAGAGCCCTTGGGATGAGTGCCGGGACAGACAGGGATATGCTGCCTTTCCAGAGGGAATTCAAAGGAATTCAATACCTCCAGCTCCTGCAGGACTTGAGTCCGGGTTGTCTCGGCTTGTTCCCGCTCCGTTGTGATGGCCATCATATCATCCTGTGGAAACACCGCCACGTGCGGTGGGGACTGATGGAATCCTGCCCCACCCGGAATGGACGGGATGGAATCCTGCCTGAGCCGCCAGACGGAGGCTGGGGACAGCCCTGGGAGCAGGGACACCTCCAGGCCAGGATGGATAACCCCGCTTCCCGCTCCAGGCAGCCCCACAGGGTTCGAGGGATCTCCTGGCTCTCCGGGACACTGCAGTATTTTTGCTGGGTACACGGTGGCAGCATTGAGACACGTTTAGCTCTGAGAACGCAGCGGAGTTGCAGTTTTGGCTACTCCTTTGCATCCCCCTAATCCCACCTGTGTGGCTGGAGCCAGGCTCTGGTGGGGGCAGTGATGCTGGACACTCAGGAGAGGACAAACCCACCCTGACCCCAAATCACTGCCTGGAAAGGGCAGACGTGAAGAGCTAGGAACAGACCTGGATCGCCTGGATCCTCTGCTTGAGACCCTCATTCCTGACGTTCAGCCTAATGGCATAGCCAAAGAGGATGAAGAATCTCCTGTCCTTTTCAATGAAGTCCTCCAAGAAATCGTCAATGTCTCCATCCGACAGCTCCAGCAGACGCTTGTAGGCCACCTCATAGCTCTCCTTTTGGCTCTGTTTGGCCCTCTCAGCTGCCTCAAAGGCTGAGGAAGAGACAGAGAGCCGTGACTGCCCTTTGCAGAGCCTTCCCCGCAGTGCTGTGGGGTTTGCTGCAGAGCTGGGGCAGGAGGGAGCAGTGCTGGAGGGGCTGAGGGTGCCTCTTTCACCAGGAAACAAAGCAGGGATGTCATGAGAATAGAGCAAACACCTTGGGATCCCCTACCAGGAGGACAGAATGATTAGATTGGATGTCAGGAAGAAATCCTTCCCTGTGAGGGTGGCAAGGCCCTGGCACAGGTTGCCCAGAGCAGCTGTGGCTCCCTCACCCCTGAAAGTGTCCAAAGCCAGGTTAGACAGGGTTTGGAGCCACCTGGGCTGGTGGAAGGTGTCCCTGCCCATGGAGGGGGTGGAACTGGATGAGTTTTAAGACTCCTTTCCAACCCAACCCATTCTGTGGTTCTGTGATAAAAGCAGACATGGTTGCACACAGGAGCAGCTCCCTGTCCCCAAGACAACTCAGACTCACTTGGTTACCACAGTTCAGCCTTTTTGCTTGTGGGGTGAAGGTGGGGCAGGGCAGGCATCCTGCCTTTGGGGTGCAATTCTATAAACCACCATGAGCAGCCCCCACCATCAGCTCTGTGGACTTGGAGTCTGTGGTCCCAGGAAAACAAATTCTCCTCTGATACCTTCTCTCTGCTTGGCCTGTTCCTTCAATTCAGAGTGATCTGTACATTTGCTGAGGAAGAAGTTTTTCAGCCTGGTCTCCTTGTGAAGGGCACACTTCCTCTCCAGCAGCCTGATGTTGTACTGGATGGTTTCTCTGTAGCGCACGTCCCGAATGTCCGAGATCCGCCCCAGATCCTCCATCCTGCACACAGACTGCAACACTCGCACCTTGTGGGTGTATAAGGCTCTGTATTCCTGGCCACTGCCAGGAGTTCTAGGCCTGGCAAAGCCCCTGTGATGCTGTGCCCATTCCCAGCTCTCATCTGGATGGAGTGGAGTTAGTCCAGAGGGAATTCCCAGCCACTAACACAGCTTTTGGTGGGGTTTTGTACTAGGGCTCAGTACCCAGCTCAGGTGGGACTCAGAAAAAAGAGTCCCTCCATGGGGCAGTTCATCCAATCCAAAGAAACAGATGGAATAGCTGGAATAAAACACCCTGGAGGTACCAGGGTTTATTACCCCACACTGACCATGAGGAGAGCAGTGAATCCTCTCTCTGAAGGCTCAGTTGACTTGAACACTCATCGCTGGCATCAGCCATCAGCCCCAGGTTTTGCCCAGAGGGCTGACAAGGCCACCTACCACTGCTCGTAGTCCTCGGTGGCTTGCTCGATAGCATCGTTCAGCAATTTGTTCTGCCGAACCAGCCTTCTTTCCAGCTTCCAGTAGGAGTTGTCATAGATGGCTTTCTGGATTTGCAGGCTCACCGTCTCCTCTCGGAGCCTGTTGTTCCGGGTCATGATGTTGTTGTAACGCACGGTGACCTGGCGAGAGCAAAGCTGGAATTGGTGGGGGACTGGGGGGTTCAGGTTGCTGCTTAAAGACCTTGACCAGGGCAGGGTCCAACACAGCCCAGGAGATTTGAAGAGATTTCAAAAGAGATTTGAAGCTGGCCCGGCACTGTCCTCCTCCCCCAAGAGAGCAAAGGCAGCAGAAGACCAGGTCGATCACAACAGAGACCTGGAGCTGGCTTTGTCCAAGGCGAGGTGGCTCCAGGCAGCCCAGTTTGATCACAAAGCAGGTGCAGACCTTCAGGCCTCTTGGCACAGCTCAAGTGCTGCATTTGGGTCACCAAGCCTGAAGGAGCCTTTGAGATATTCTGGGAATGATCAGGCCAGGGGAACAAGCCAGGTGCTTCATGCAGCTTGTGTCAACCAAATGCATTTGTACCACTGTGCTTTGTCCTGACCAGAAAGGTCCCAGACCCCTTTGTGACCCCACACATGTTCTCCAGAAGTCTCCAGAATGTTTCCTTACATGATTTAGATGCATCTCCAGAAATTCAATCTTCTTCTGCAGGTGTTTGTGACTCTTTGCCTCCAACTCTCTCCAGGTTGTGTCTCTTTGCTTCACTATCTTTTTTTCCAGCTCTACAACCTGCACACACACACAGGGGAAAAAACCCAGGAAGTATAATCTCCACCCTGACATTCTGGACTCTTGTCAGGACACAGAGCCAAAGAAAATCCTCTCTGTTGACCTGAACTACAGCAACCATGCTATTAATGAGCTCTCAGTTATAGGAGCAGCTTTAATCCCAAAGGATCCCATCCTGCACACGCAGAAACATAAACTGTAACTGGGAATGTTGGGGTTTTTTTTGTGTCAGCTGTTTTTGGAGGGAACTCCAGCAGGTGCTGAACACGGCACAGCAGCACTTTGCGGAGTGGAATGGCGAGGAGGATGGGGCTTTGGCAGAGGTGTTGTGCTGGCCAGGCAGGGATCTGTGCAGTCCTCCCAGGAATGAGCAGAGGAAAACTTCAGCCAGAAGCGGGGAGCTTCCAGAGGAGATAAATCCATGGAAGAGTGAAGCAGTTGGAGAACAGCGAAGTGGGGGGCAGGTGGGGGAGGGATGACTCAGACGAGGCAGAGTTATCATCCCTGACAGAAAGCTAACCCTGTTGGGAGAGCTCTGCAGCACCTCCAGCAACGGCAAACTGTCCAAGCATGCTTCCCTGGCATCCAGCTTGGGCAGCTGGCTCTGGGAACAATGCTGAAGGGAGATGTCACTTCCATAGCCCGCGTTTCCCTTGACTTCCCACCCCACTCCTGCCCAAATCCAACCAGGATGCCCTCAGGAGAAGGGATGGGACATCCCTCAGATGCTGCTCTTCCTGTATTTGCCACATCTCAGACAGCCCTGTTCCAGTTTTACCTCCTTTTCAGGAGAATAAAAGAAGTGAAAGGAGAAGGAGAGGGATGTTTGTGGCCCCAGGCTGGTGTGTGCCACCACACAGGGGTGCAGGGACCGGTGGGACAAGGTTGAGAGTCCAACCTCACTTTTCCAAGTCAGTGCTGCTGACTTGAACGGGAGCCTGGTTCTATCCATTTGTCATTGTCATGTGTCACTTGCCAGGAGGAATATTCCAAGGCCTGAATTAAATGTTTTACACTGAGGAGTTTCAGCCACAGGTCCCACTCTGTGACTCTCAGGCAGGGAACACTCTGGATGCTCTCACCTGCTTGGCCAGGTCACCTAGCAGGGCTTTTCTTTCTTTGATCAGGACATCATTCTGCGTTCTGATCTGCAAAAGGCTTCGGAGCTTCATACGATTTCTGTTGTCCCGCAACAAGTTACTCGGGGAATAGATCTGGCTCAGTGTTAATGTCACATGTCTGTGTTCTTGCTTCAGATCATCTATTGCTTTTCTGTGAAAACAGAACGACAAATGACATTTAGCACATCCCATGTGCCAGGGCAGGTCCTTACCCCTCCCCATCTCTGCACTGTGGTCCCCAGATCTCCTTATAAATAAGAGGGAGCAAAGTTTTTATGTGGGCAGATGTGATAGGACAAGAGGGAGTGGTTTTAAACTAAAAGAAGAGAGATCAGAGGTTAAGAAGAAATTCTTTACTCAGAGAGTGGAGAGGCACAGGGTGCCCAGAGAGCTGGGGCTGCCCCTGGATCCCTGGAAGTGTCCAAGGCCAGGCTGGACATTGGGGCTTGGAGCAACCTGGGACAGTGGAAGGTGTCCCTGCCTGTGGGATTCTATAAATCTGTGACTTCAGCATGGAGGAGCTTCCCAAGCCTCAGGCAGCCAAGCAGGGCTGTACTCACTCCTGAGCCTGCATTTGCCGCCAGATATCGGCATCGAAGAATTTCCTCTTGTATGCTTCATGATGAAAATGGGTCTGCAGCTGCCTGATGTCCACTTTAGCCCTTTTTTCCTTATCTTTTTCAGAGAGCTCCAGGTCCGCTGAGGCTTCTCTCCTCTGCCACAGACAAGGGAGGGTTTGGTCACTTGAGCAAACGCCGCCAGCAGTGGCAGCACCAGCTCCAGCTCTTCCCTGGCACCTGAGATATCCATCACCACCCAAAACATGCTGGCTGAGCTGGAGCCAGCACCTCAAGGCCAGGACAGGGAGAGACCTCCACCAGTGAAGGTGATGGCAGGTTGTCACCTCTTTTATCACCCAGCACAACAGCGAGGACCACGTGAGTCAGAGCCATTGGTGCTGGGGATGTGGATGAGCCCAGCTGACTGCCCAGGAGTGGAGCAGGAGTGTTCCTCTCCCCGACCATCAGAAGGTGCCTTCTAGGTGAGAAACTGCCCAGCAGGCAAGCACTGAAGACAGTTAGACCCACCACTACCCGTGTCCTCAGCTGACTCAAATTCCCCAACTCTGCCTCTCCCAACACCCAAATCTCAGCCCAGGGCTTCATTCCTGGCACAGGAGGACAGCAAAAGCAGCCCCACTGCTACCCAGCACCTTGTTGGCAAGTGCAAACCCTGCTCCCGATGCTGGATGTGTATTTCCTCGGGTAAGATCCCCACAGCAGATCCCACATAGTCCCTGTGAAGTTCATCTTTAGTGTATCCTTGTTTTTTACCTTCATTTTCCCTGTCTAACTCTGCCAGTTGCAGACGCCTCGGGAAAGGAAGAAGTGAAACTCTGCAGGTACAGGATTGCTTTCCAAGGGGAGAAATGAAACAGGAGTAATGTTGTAACAGGTTGTGTCCTCCTGCCCATCCCTCAGCACCCGCTCGCATGTTTGGCACATGAGGAAACCATCACAGATGGCTGCAAGTGGAATAAAAGGAGAGCATTTCTGGTGATGTCATCGTGAAATTATCGAGTTTTATAAGTAGGGGAAGAACAGATGGTTTGAGCTATTCCACCCCATTCAGTACCTGGGTTTCCATAGAAATTCCAGCGAGGCCAGCTTCCCCCACCCTGTGCCAGCAGAACACCTGGATTCAGCCCCCCTGCCCTACTGGTGCCAGGAGGGCAGCAGAGTGGACATCCCTTACCCCCAGAGCTGGTTCCCAGCAGCCACACCGCAGTCCCTCGGGTCCCCCTGTGTCCCCTGGCACTGCTCAGCCCCACACAGGGCACCGCAGCTCCTCTCCAGCCAGGAGACAGAACCACAGTGACAGTGGGGTATTCCCAAAGATCAAAGCCTGTTTCCAGCAGGAATCTCAGGAGAAGGGAGAACCTAGAAGAGAACTGGTTCCAGTTCCATCCTGCACTGCGCCAGGTTCCGTGGAACAATCGCAGGCTTGGTTGCCACGGCAGCATCACTGCAATGGGGTGAGGACGGTGCTCACCGAGACAGATCAAGCAAGGAGTTGCTGGGACCCCACATTACATGGACCAAAGGGGTTTCTGTGCCCCAAAACCAGCCCTGGAGCATGTGCTCCAACTCCTCCCTGGCTGCGTGTCCACAGCAAAGAGAAACCCTCATTTGGAATTGACCCATAACCTGGCGTTCAAAGCCTTTTACTCCAACAGGAGCAGCCAGGGGTTCACCATCCCCAGCAGTGCTTCAGGATTAGGGCTGATGCTCCCTCCCCACCTAGATCCCAGCTCCACATCCAGATTTTTGGCCTTCCAATCCGATTTTTATCTGTTTTATCCATAAAGAGACCATCACCACCTCACTGCCACCGCTGCTGGCATCCAGAGCGTCAACGGTTGGTGCTGCCAGACTGGGGAAGGACCCTGGGGACAGGGACCAACATGTTAGGTGGCTGATTAGGGGACAAGTTGAGTCTTCATGCCTGCTTCTCTCCTTTCCATGCAGGGAAGCACACAGGAACTGTGGACTGAGTCATAAGAGCCACGATAATCCTTTCCCTGTAAGCTGGAGCGCATGGCTCCTTCCCAGGGACTGTGCAAATGCTGGGATTCCTGGAGGGCAGGAGCACAGGGGCTGTGTTTGTAGCCTTGGAGTTGCTTACTCAGCTGTGGGCTGAAGGGGAACAGAGCAGTGCTGAAGGTGAGCAAAGGGCAGCCTGTCCCAGTTTGCAGGGCTGCGGCGAGTTCAAAGCCACGAGCAAAATCCCCGAGCGGGGCATCGGCACCTCCCCGTTATCCCAGAGACTTTGATGAGCTAGCAGCCCAGCCACCAAGTTCCAGGCAAATTCCCAGCCAGACAGGCTCTGAGGAGGCATTTAACTGGAAATCATACTCGTGGCAGAAAGCAGAATGTGGTGTTTGATAAGGAAAATCACAGCTGAGAGCAGAGCCATGCTGGGAAGGCACCGGAGCCTGAGGTTCCCACCAGGGCTGGGGGAAGCTCCCAGAGATTCTCATGCTGTTCCTGAATGATCAACAACTCCGTGGGATAATAACAACAACCTCTCCAAGGGTGAGGCTGTCACACAGTCCCAGTGGCCCTGGCTGTGTTAGAGGACACATCCCTCCCTTTCACCCTCAGCAGAAACAGGGCCAAACCCCCAGTTCCCAATAAAAGTAGAGGTGCAGGAGTGAACATTATTTTTCCAGAAACAATGCCACTCAAAGTCTTGTTTTTCCTTGGCTTGGACTAGTCCAGCCTCAAAATACAGCCCATATCGTCTGTCCTTTTTGTGTTCTTCTCCATGGACCAATTCTCAATTGTTTAGCAATGAACAAGTCAGTAAATTAAACTATTCAGGAGGGCTCTGATTTGGTAGAGTCTGTGTCTGTCTCCCTCATTGCAGAAGCACTGATTTGACTAAAGAGGACTCTTCTCACCCAAACAATGCCTGACTGTCACACTTGCTCTCAGTGAGGGTGACTTCATTGTTTGGATGGACCTTTCAGCAGAACAGTATTTGGGGAAGGATGAGATTGTCCATAACATTTGAATCCAAAAAGTCTCCAGTTTCTGGGAGAAACAGAAGAAAAGTGACTTTCTATGCAATTTTCAACTTAACCAATCTTGCCTGATTTAACAAGTACATTTAGCACTGATTGACATGCAGAAATTATTCCTTCAGCAGCAGATCTGGGAGCTAATTAAAACTCATTGTACTATATTAAGGGATGAATTCCGATCTGTGCAAGCAGTGTAAACTTTTCCTGATTCCAGCAATGATTTTCCCATTTCACTGGGTCTAGTTCACAGGGGCTGCAGGGGGTGGTCAGAGCTGGGCTGGGTCTGAGCTGAGCTCCCACCTGGGAGCATCCCATTGATGTCAAACAAAATCTCTGGGGTAAGCTGGAGAATCAGGCCCATATTTTCATGCAAATGTAATACATTCATGTTACTTAATGCCTATTTATAATAAATCCAGAACTTAATTCTACTTAACCCGTCTTTAGTGTTTGACACATGAAATCGGTGAGTCAGAGGGCTATATATGGAACTGTCAAAACTTTCTTTTTACCCTCCTCTAAAAGCCTGGATTAAATCATAATCAAACTCCTGTCAGCTCCAGCAGCAGTGCTGGGATGAACAGGAAGATGCTGACAACTGCTAAGGCAGCTGGTGGTGGGGAAAGATCTTCTCAGGCAACAAATTGATGGCTAAGACCTCAGAGAAAAGGTTCTGAATTCAGGCACACGCCATGTCCATTTGCTGGAATCATAGAACCAGAATGGCTTTGGTTGAAAGGAGCCTTAAAGCTCATCCAGCTCCACCTCCTGCCATGGACAGAGACACCTTCCACAAGCCCAGGTTGATCCAAGCCCCATCCAACCTGACCTTGGACACTTCCAGGGATGGGGCAGCGACAGCTTCTCTGGGTAACCTGTGGCAGTGTTTCAAAACGCTCTGAGTAAATAATTTCTTCTTAACATCCAATCTAATCTCTCCTATTTTAGTTAAGTATCATTCCCCCTTTGTTCTGTCACCGTCTGCCCAGGTAAATGTCCTGGGGACCTGGAGGGATCCCTTGGCCTCACGGTGTCACCTTACCAAGACCTGCCTTGTGAATGTGTCCACACTTTTCTAGCCAGGTTTTTATTTCTTTCCTCTGATGAATGTTATCTTCTCATGTGCATGAATCAGCTTTCAACAGGCAAGGCCAGTTTTGGTCCAAAGCCCTCATGAACACATGGAGAGCTGTAGACCTGCAGCTTTTTGCGACTGGTTTGAGTTTTGCTCCATGTTTCTGGAGAAGGGGTTTTATTTCAAATATACACCATCTACTCCTCAATTGCTGAGCTATTCTATCCCTGCACGATATCACTTCTTCCAGCCTGTCCTTCCTGGGTAGGGGCAGAGACATCTCCACACAAGCAAATTACTTAAAAGTTTTCAGGGTAATTGGTAGAAGTAAGGGGAGAGGAGGCTGTTGGCTGCCTCCTCGATTACAGCTGTAATTTCTCCACACTCCAAGAGGAAATTGTCATCCTAATTTCCTGCAGATGGTTTTCTCCTGAATTGCTGACACCGAGTGAAATGTGATTTCCAGCAGTGAACTCTCTCCTCTGTGGCTTCACTGGCTGTTATTTCAAGCGTCGCTTTAGGAGCACGTTCCCCAAGCTTTGACTTTAGGAAAGTAAAACTCTCCTACAGCAGGCTCCACCACTCCAGCAGAGCCAAATAACGTGGATTTCATCTGCCTGTGCTAACTCCCAGCCACCTTTGGCTGCAGCAGGTACACTGTGCTGAATTACTGCTCAAAAGCTGCTTCCACGGGGGAGGAATGCAGGAGGAAAATAGTTGAGGATGTGCTGAAAGCACAGAAAGAAGAGACCTCCAAAAATTTCACTGACTTGAGGTCAAACCTGGTGTATACCAAGCACACAGACACTGCAGGATGATTTTAGCTAAAGCAAAGAACGAGGGACTCAAGGACAGAGCCATCGCAGATGCCGCCGTCACACGAGGCCGTGTCTGACCTGCAGCAGGGTTCTCTGTGCCACTGTGGGGTGGGGAGGCCCTGGAACAGGCTGCAAGGAAAAGCTGTGCCTGCCCCATCCCTGGAAGTGTCCCAGGTTGGACAGGGCTTGGAACAACCTGGGAAAGTGGGAGACGTCCCTGCCCATGGCACGGGGTGGAACGGGACGAGCTTCAAGGTCCCTTCCAACCCAAATCATTCTGGAATTCTGTGACTTCTTTTTTTTTTTTTTTTTTTCTGTGATTTAGGCAAAACTGCACAAAGTTACTCTCAGTGGTGCTGCTGATCCCTCAGCAGTTTTGGAGACATCACACCCAAGCAGGAGGCAGGGCTTTGCTCCCAGCTGGGATGTGCAGTGCAGCAGCTCCCAAAGTCTGGCAGAGCACTTGGCCATGGCTGAGCCGAGCTAATAAATTCCCACCATGACCTCCCACATCCCAGTCTTCCCCAGGGAAGTCTGTTGGCAAATCCAGACGCTGTGCTGGAACCCCTCCATGCCAGACTGAGCTGGGGAGCACTGGGAGGGTGGTTTGTGCCTGAGGAAGCAGCACATCACAGTGAGATTTGGGAAGGAAATCCCCTTCTCCACAGACTCCAGCGGCTCCATGTCAGCTCTGGGCAGAGCTGGGCAGCACAGGAGACCACAGCAGGTTTAGAAGAGCTATTTCCAATTAATCATTCCTGATTACAGTCCTGTGCAAGGCTTCTGGTCAGGACTAAGAATACCTTATTAATTGAACACACTCTGCAAGTGGCTTAAGGCAACTGAGGATTTGCCTATACA